TGACAAATGAGACCCTCCAATCCTAAGTCTCTATATATAACCATTTTCTAAAATTTCCAAATTTCACCCTTAGCAACTATTCACCTCAAATATTTTATTCCTTGAAGTATTTCAACTCCCTAAGCTCTAAAACAACCTCAAATTTACTTAGAAAGACCAGATTTATCTTATGTTCCCATCCTTCAATCTCCTACCCATCCTATTACTTTCTATACAATACTCATAACTCACCACCATATGAAATGCAATCTATATATATTTATATCAACACTTAAACAAACATCACCTTCAGATACATATGCTTGGAATAATGAGTTGCATGCCATAATACTTCACTTAACTAAGATGAGAAGGAAGGTGATCAGTTTTTTTCCTCTTAGTACCAATTTAGTATAATGGTGTACAATGCATCATTCACCACATTCATGATACACATTCCTATATAAACCTCTCATCTCATACTACAAAATCACTATGTCCAAACAACTAATCAAAACCACATAATTATACAACATGCACAAAGATAAGTACATTTCAAATCCACACCTCCATAATCCAATCCAAATCTATATAGACAACATATACATACTTACATACATATATTTACATATATATATATATATAAGTATATCTACTAAATAGCTCGATATTTTCATGGCGTTACACATAGGATGTATTGTATAAGGAGAATGAAAACTTTTCTTGAAATGACTTATATTGCATTAGTAAAAAGGGGAAAAACCTCAAAAACTCTATATAATAGGGAATTCAAGTGAGAAAAAAAAAACAAAGAGTTTCCATATCAAAACTATCTCAAACTAAAAATGAATTGTCTCTCAAGAATCAATGCATTAGTTTACACTTATTCTTTTACTTGCCATATTGCCCATTATTTTATACATAGTTGGAACTAGATTTTTAATAATAGCTTCTACTTTAATTCCAGTTAAATTCTAAAAACTATATTAGTAAGAATGTATAGGTTGCAATTCAAATGTATGTTGCCTAAAGAAGAAAGATTTTGAACATGTTATATTCTTAATTGAAATTTAAAATAATGAATTTAAACATCTTAGATAAAGAATGTTATTTAATTTTTAAAAAATAATGCAAAACAGATAAATTGTTTATCCCATTAATATTTTCAACTTAAATGGAAGAAATTGTAGAATTAATTGTTAAGATGCATAAAGTTCATCACTTACCTCCAGTATGCTATTCTCAATCCTTTTCTTTACCTTATTTTCATTATCATTCAATCTCTTTTCTACTTTTCATTTCTCATTTGATATTTTAATTTCTTCCTTTTCTCATATTTGTTATGATAGATTCACTACACCAAAATTAGTTTTTTTTTAACAATTAGTTTATTTTTTAACAGCCATATAAATGGCCATTATTTTTTTTACCAACATTTAAATAATGGATGGTGTATCCAAAGTCGCTAATATTATTACCGACATTTATATAAAATGCTGGTAAATACTTACTAAATTATCGGGAAAACTTATTTTTTTTAGTGGTAATTATAGTAGCCATTTTAAAGGCTAAAAGTTATTTTTTTCAATTGTCTCCTTTCCATCCATTTAGTGACTTTTATCTTTTGCTAGTAAAACTTTAAATAATTTATTCCTATAATTTCCTTTTCTAAATTTATAACTTATATACTTTTTTTTATCTCTAGTCGATGTGGGTTGTCTTCTATTTATATATTTTTAATTTATTTATTTAATTATCTTGTCTCTTAAGAGATATGAGATTTACAAGGTAAAAGTTGCTCTCTAGTTATTTTATAACACTATTGAACTTGGTAATAGTGGGTGATTTGATACCAATTTAGAATAGTGAATTAGGAGTCTAACTCAACCCTATAAAATCAACTATAAGGTGATAGTTATTACTCACTTATATACTATTTAATTATCCTATCTCTAATCGATACGAGACTTAAGTTTTTTCTAATAAATAATTGTCGCTAATAATAAACTTTAGTGTTATATAAATACATTTTTAGTGACTATTATATATTAGTCTTTAATATTTTTATTATATAATTAAATAATAATAATTAAATTATTGTCATTAAATAATTGTCGTTAATAACAAATTTTGTTGTAGTGATTGATGTATGTTTTGTTCTTATAGAAGGTGCAAAGCTCTACCAGGATACTGCACCTAACAAGTTTTAAAAATGCTAAAATCCACGACTAATATGATAACTTTTTGATTAGCATGTGTAATGTCTAGAATATAAAATTGAAGATTAAAAATTGACATATAATACACTTTTTTTTTTTTACAAGTTTTGTTCGTTGCTTATTTGAAATTGAAAAATAAGATATAAAAACTATTTTTGGCATATTGTTTGGGAGTTTAGGAACATTTCAAGAATCATGTTTTTAAAATTGTTCACTGCTCATTACTTTAGTGATTGATTCTAATTGATTTTTTTTATATATAAATAAGCTTAGAATGTATTGTTGAAGTTTTCTTCTATGTTATTGTTAATTGTAATTTGCATTTGGGGGAAATCTGTTGACCATGGTGTTGCTTCAATTGATTTGCCGGAGGTTGTCTTTTACAATTTTTTTTTTTATTATATTGATGTAGAAAATTGTTTCATATTTTCCCATTAAGGAGCTTATTACACATTTTTGTAGTTTCATGCATTCCGGTGGTATGATTTTTTTGTTTGTCATATAATATAGTAAATTCCAAAGTGCAAAAACCCCAACTCATTCCCTACAGCTTAAACACCTTCACAAAGCAAGCAACTTCATCACGAATGAAACAAGATATGCTGATAATGATTATAAGAGGAATGAGATGCTGATAAAGTTGGAGGTCAGAGATAAAAAATTTTGAACTACATTTTTTTGCATATTATTTCCGCTTTTTAATGCTTATGGTATTATAGGAAGGGAGGAGGTTGTATTTTTTCATTTTCTTGGATATTTGAGGTGCAAGCACCCGGATTAGAGAAGAGGAGGGAGAGAAAATTTGTAATTGAAAGAACATAAGTTTTGGAATGAAGAGTAAAAAAGGTTGAGAGAATAATGTTTGTTTCCATAATTGAAGGAAACAAAATTTGAGGATATACTCTATTTTATTTTGTAATCTTAATAATATGTATTTCTAAATTATAAATTAATATTTGTGGTTGTTGAGGGTTTAGGGAGTTGTTCATTTAATTAGCTATTTAAATTAAAATATAATATTAGATATGTTGAAAGAATAAATGTACTAAAATAAAAATATTAGAGATTTATGAAACAAAAGAAAAAAATTGGATAAAATTATATTAATTTAATAAATTTTAAAATATATATAATATATAATTATTAACTTCAATATAAATTAAATTATGTGAAAGATTGTCTAACATAAAAATAATGTTAATCAAATAAAAATATCTTATTTTATCTTTTCTTCATAAAGTATTATGAAAAAAATTTATATGTAAAATTTTTCAAACATCGAGCATGTAATTTTTAAAACTTATGATACATTATAAAATATTATGTTTGTCTTTTGGGATGTTTCATCAAAATCTTTTGTTGGGAGATGAATGGTTTGCTGATGAAGAAATGGTGTCAATTAAGTTTATGTATTGAAAATGTTAAATGGATTTTCTGTTTTTATATATTATACATTGATATTAATCTATAAATATTTAAAATCTGGTCTTTCAGTTAACATATCCTATAAAAAAAAAAAATTTAATCCCTTGAATTCATTGTATCATATTCTCGGCTTTTAGATTTGATTATTTACTCATCACAAATAAAGGACTATTTATAACATATGAAAGATAATTTTTTTTTCTTTAAAATACTATTATTCTAATTTAAATTGTGCAAATACAATCGATTAATCTGTGCTACTAATACAGCACATAGGAAGCTTTTTATTTCAATAGTAAGACATACACCTAAAAGCATGATTTAAAACCCGGATCCAACCGGTCGGTCGGATCGGTCGGACCGGGAATCGCTGGTCCAGCCGGTCCAAAATTTTAAGTTGGACTGGTTATGCAGTCGACCCTTTTCAAACTGGATTGAACCGGTCAATTTTCCGGTTCAACCGGTGAACCGTTGGGTCAAACTGGTTCAACCACTTTTTTTCTTATTTTTTTTAAAAAAAAAATTAAGGGACCATAAACCACAAAAATAATAATGAAAATTAAATCTCTTAATAGAAAAGCAAAGAATCTTATTAAATATAACAATGACTACTTGTTCTAATGTATTTGTTTGTAATATATACAACTTAAATAACTTTTATAATATATTATTAATTTTAAATTATATATTTAATAATATAATATTTATGTAGATATTACATATATTATTTTGTGATATCAATTACAAGTATATTATATATGTACATATTATTTATATTTTTAATTTGTATTAATATACAGTTAAATAAGATAGAAAAATTAAAATTTAAAATAAGATATGAATTTATTAAAATTTATAAGTATAAAATATTTTTAATATGAATATTTTTTTAATAAAAATAAATAAAAATCGAGTCATGCAGTTCAACTAGTGACCCTCCGGTTCAACCTTTGACCCACTGACCCAGTACCTTAACCGGTTCTATGACCGATCCGGTTTTTAAAACTATGCCTAAAAGGCAAAATCAGTTTGTACAAATATTGGTTGTTAAATAGTGAGGAAAATTTTGGTTGTTACGTGTAAGTATTCAGCATTTACTTTTTATTCATGTATTTCAATCATAATCCATTACATTATTTGATTGCATACTACAGTAGTTCAGATCTCCCATAATTTTAACAGCATAATCCAGAGACACCGTGAAGCACTAGTTTGCACACCCTCGGTTTTAACATCTCTATATAATGTTGTGTCAGACACCGATGCAACCTACTGCTCTATATTGTGACGCCAGCTTTTAGCTTTATTGCAACTGAGACATGGTGAAAGATTCTGATACCAAATAATAAAACTGAGAGAAGCACATCACATAAGTCATTAGTTCAAAAGACCATATAAACCCAGCATTGGAATCTTATACTCCAAAAGTGAGACTCGAGTCTCACACCTTACAATTGGATCCTAACACTTACCACTAACCGTCACAATTTAAAACTTAGATAGCAAGTGAACAAGGAAGCATAAAGTGGCATCAAGGTGAAAGGACAAAAAATAAATGCAATGCTCAGGTATTGTTTGCCAGGTTAAATGCTAAAGAAGGTACATCTCACTCGTTATCGTGTGATTTATTGTATATACGAACAAAAAGATGCAATTTCATTAGTTTCAACCGACAAGGCTGAAACAGCAACCCAAAGGAAGATACAGGAAGAAACCATAAAAGAAAAATTGTCTTACACAGAGTCAGCCTCCTCTTTGCCAACAGTTTCTTCATTCAGCAAGGTAGCTGGAGAATTTGCTGCAGAGTTCTCAGCTGTTACAGCACCGGTACCATCACCATCTTGGTTGCTAAAGAGGGACGAAAAAGAAAATGGGTTGCTAGTGGAGCTTGCTTTCTGAAGACCCTTTATGGCTTTCATAGCAGCAAGAGTGCTACGATATATATACATGGTTTCATTCCCAAGCGTTGAGGATGTCTCAGGTGAGGCATTTGTTGCACCATCTGTGGGCAGTCTAGACTGATCTTCCGGTGGCAGAGTTGATTGAATTACTTCTGCTTGCAGGGGAAAAAGCAGTTCTAGATTTTCCTCACATTCATGAACTAACCTTGTTAGAGGCTCAGTAGTGAAAAAAGGTTGCCGAAGAACAAGTTGCGTAAAAGGCAGACGCAACAATCCACCGGTTCTTTTATCATACTTCTTCAAAATTTTAATGAGTCCTGTGGAAGTGGAAGTAAGTTATGTCATTAGAATTACCAACCTCTAACTGTCAGACATACAATACATATTCAAATTCAAACATATGAATCATATACTGTTTGGGAGTAATGTCAAGAAACTTTACAGAAATGTTACTGCCAGATTAAAGTGGTGACTTCCATACCAGCCATACTTAGATCAAAAGGATATATATTGGATGAATTAGATGATGCACCTGCAAAGTTTAAGGAACTGTAGTTTTTGAGGAGCACCATCTCTCCATGGATGGTGACCAAGTCCTTCCTGATGTCCATCATTTCTTCACTGAATTCACAGTCAGAAGTGTACATTTCACTCTGGCTGCTTTTTTCTTTAAGACGCTCAATTCTCTCTTTCAGCTCCTGTTCAAAGTTTCAGGCAAGAGTCAGGGAGGAAACCAACCTTATTGTTGTCAATAAACACCAACAGTATTATGAATGGTATTCTCCAGGCATTGACCAATATCTTTTATATTGATCTTTTATCAAGCACTTCAACAGTTGGATTTAGTAAACAATTCATAGCTGAAATGTCAATAATTAATCCTATAAAGTAGGAAAAACATACATCAGATTAGCTGGAGTCACCTTGAACATCATCAATCTAATAATGTGTTCAGTGAGCTATGCCATTGCAGATTCCGTATCTTACATTAACACTAGGATAAATTTCACACTAGAGATTTTACCCATCTTACAGGAAGAACATAGAGGAATCTGGTATTAATAATGTTATAACAGATTGAATTGAGTAAATTTAGACCTGCTATATATTAGAAGAATAATGTATATAATCGTCACATCTTAATTCCTAATAGTTATTTATGCCATCTTATTTTAATAGTTTTCATCATATTCATCAAAACTTGAGAATCAAATTGTTTGTGGAAAATCACTAATTGGCAGGGTCTCTCATAGGAGCTGCATATGACTCATCCGAGACAAAACAGAGAATGAATCTCAACTCTGAGCCATCCATGAAGGAATATACTTACCATTTCCCAACATTATAAATTAATTCCTACTGATAAAAAAAATTTATAAATTAATCACCAAGAGTGTCTTGTGATGAGTGTTGCACTATATGCAAAACAAGGAAACCTAATTACATTACCTGACAAAATTTGGAATCCGGTTTGTTAGTTAGTTAGCAGCTAGGAGTATGGATGCTTGGTCTCTCAACAGGTAGTTTGAGCTTATACTATGAGCAACAGCCCATATAAGTATACCATTAGGAAGTTAGTAAAATTCTAGCACCTAATTCATTTTTCATGATTGTTTATATAAGTTGACGGTGCCACAACCCACAAGAGTGTCTCATCATAAGTCCTAGCTACAAAACCATATTATTTTCATCAACTCCCACGAATTGAATTAAGCTAAAGTGTGACGGGTTCGATTTACTAATCGATTGATTCAACAACTGGGTATTGGAACATATTGGATGGACAGGATAAAACCTAAAAACTGACAGACTATGGTATTGTAGGATTATAAACAGACAGGAGACAGCCATTGAATGATAATGTTTCTATTGAACCTTTAACTAAAAACTAAAGTACAAATTTGTAATAAATCAAGGTGATTGTCATACTAGATTGTTTTTCTAAATTTCTCAAAATACTCAAATATCCCAAATAGTATCAAACATCTGTAGGCATACTGCTTAGCAGAACACCAAGACTTCAGTGTTTTTGCACAGTGTATCTGTCTAAACTTGATCAAGCCAAAAACCTTTCTCAATACCCAATTGGGCAAACACAATTTCCTAATTACCACTTACCCATTTTGATCGAAATTCGTAAGAGCGGGTTAGGGTCGGTTTATTTTACACAAACAACAAATTCACTGTCCACACGTCCCAGGATAAAATCTGTTGTTGGAATTAAGATAGATACATGTCCTGATCACCTTAAACAAATTAAAAATGAATTCTTTTGAACTTCAAAACATATGGGCACTTAGTAAACTAAAAATAGTACCAACATACCATGTACTCATCACAACACCTATATATAATATACCAAATAAAAATTAGGGTTTGATCAAGCCAAGAGCTTTCTCAAATATTCAATTGTGCAATACAAGGTTTTACCACCCGAATTGCCAATTTACTAATTACCCATTTCAGCAGAAACTAATAAGAATTGAAAAGGATTGAGCACCAACATAACATGTTGGAATTGGAAAAGAACCTGGAAGCGAATGACAAATTCTTCCTCTTTGTCGACATAGAAATCATTGAACTTTTCAAGCTCTTCGTTGAGAATCCTCACGAACCAAGCCTGCATGAGTTGTGGGGAAGAGGGTGGTTGGAGAAGGTGAAGAGGGAGATTGATGGGTACTGTGTTAGCCTTATTGTTGGTGTTAAGGTGGTGTTTGATGAGCTTCTTCAATGGTTTGTAGCAAAGGAACTTGTCCCTCCACTCAGGGATGGTTTCTTCCAAATGGGTCTTGAACTCTTTC